AAGTGTGTGCAGTCTCTTTGTATCCACTTTTCTGGTGGAAGAGGTATTTTGTGTTTTTCTTTTTTTTATTACATATATTTTTCTTAACGTTAGTGTTTTTCCCATTTTTTTTTTCTCTCTCTCTCTCTCTGTTGGTATCCTTACATTTTTTTGTCTTTTTTCTCTTTCATGGATGCCCTAGAGATGGGACATTGCCAAATTTGATATATTAATATCAGTAAAAAAAAAAAAAAAAAAATCCTCAGTATATATATATCTTTTGAAATATTAATAATATTGTTGTCTTGTAAATATTATACCAATATTGTACCAACTGAAAAGAACTTAAAAAAAGGATATAAAATACAATTTGCTTTTTATTAATGTCTTTAATGGTTTGTAAATGCCAACAATTCATCTGAGACACAGTATTAGAATGGTTGTCTTCAGCATCTCCATAATACTGTTATATGTAATGTGACATATGAAAGTTTAGGAGGAAATATCATACAGTTACGGAAAAAATCATATATTTTATACACTTTTTACACTCTATATACACACACAGTCTGGAGGTGCCTGTAAAGTACCACCAGTTCTTAAATCCTCATTTATTTTACACACAAAATAGACAGTGTTAAATACTCATGATTGACCATCACTCACAGATACAGTTACTAATATACATATATACACAAATTTTTAAAAATAATTTATAATGCCCCAAATCCCTTTTTCACTTGCTGTTTGCACTGCATCTTCAGTACACTCAGAATGAGAATGATTCCTTGCAAAGTTCAGAAAAGATAACTTATATATCTAGAGTATATGAAAGGTGGATATGTATACCATTTAATGTGTCTTATTATGATTTACTATGCAATTTTAATTCCAGATTAATTAGCAAGAATCTTTTGATTTAACTTAATTGATTTAACTTATATATCTAGAGTATACGAAAGTTGGATGTGTATACCAATAAATGTGGCTTATTATGATTTACTATACAAATTTAATTCCAGATTTATTAGCAAGAATCTTTTGATTTAATGGAACTATCTCATTTTCATGTAGTAGACACATTTTCAGAAACATTAAAAGGAGTCATTCTCTTCTATTCAGCAACGTAGTTTATCTTAACTTACTTAATGTAAATGGAATCCCAGTCTTATGTTTGCAGGGTTCTTGAGATAGCTGCAGGCACTATAAATTCATCACATTCACTCTACCTTTCTGCTATTACATTTCCTTTAAACTGATAGGTATTCTTATTTCATGAGTAAAAGAAAAAATATGCCTTTCTTTTCTCCTGCTTATCCTACACTGGGACTAAAATATGTCAGTTGTAAAATATATATACAGCCCGGGTATATCTCAAAATATACATGGGCTGTATAAAGCAATAAGAGCAAAGAATGATATAAAAAAATTGACTATATTTCTAGTTACTACGTTTTTTTTTTAAGTTACTTAAGCTTTTCTTTTAAATAGCAGTAGATTTTACAATCCAAAAATCAAGATAAAATGATAATGATAAAGATATATATACTGCAACTGCTACAACTGCAAGACTGAGTTGATGGAACAAATAATATTTACCATCTTAATACAAATAATCATATCCCAAGTACGGATTTCTTTCTAATTTTACCCTACCTATTGGAAAATTATGCAACCTCAAAACTGACAAACTATAGGTACTGTAAGCAGAGCATATATTCCCTCATAAATTAGGCAGCTATAAGCTAACTTCTTAGCAACAGAAATTCTTTTTCTATGTTACTTATAAATGCCCTGATTCTTGTACAGGTATTATTGTATTCTACTAGTACAGGTGGATTTGAGTTCATATATAACTCGTCTTACTTAATATGAAATTCCCATTTTACCAAAATTTGTAGATGATTAGCGAAAGAAAAGTCAGATAGAGAGTACAGAATTATATATATATAAGGGTTGTCTTACTATGACTGGCCAATGTGTATGTTTATACTGACAGAGAAAGTGAAGTGGAGATTTCTGGGTAAATATTGTGAAAGGCACTAAAAATATGAGCATTTTTAAGTAAAGTGTAAAAGTTACCATTGACATTTTTAGTGACAAAAATTCCTTATATGACAGTGAAGCACAAATATCAAATGTTTCTACATTACTGTAGGCTATATTTTATACCAATTATAAGAAACAGAGAGAAAACTTTTGATTCATGGAAAACTGCGCATCTAATGATCTTTGTTTGTCAGTAGCTTCAGATAATTCAAATACTTGTTCCTTTTTTCCTTAACCTTTAAAGATTTCCTGTCCTGTCTTCCTGACCTAAATTTTCCAGGTTCTGACTTGCATACAGAAATGCTATTCGATGATGTCTTTTCTTGGGAGTGATTTCTGAAAGTCATTCTCTTTATCTGTCCTCTACAATATGTGTCCTCTAGTAAGACCTCTAACAGGTGTAGATAACTCTTGAAACAAATTATTAATATCTTAAATGTTCTTTGCAACACTCATTTATCCTGTAGTCATTCTTACCACACTCTTCCACATAATTTATAAGGGTTTGTGCTGCACTTTCAGAACTTATAATAATTTCATGATAATGAATACAAAAAGGTACAAGTAAGCTCACCAAGTATACACCGAAGTTATAGAAAATAAGAAAAAGAAGAATGAAAATCACTCAAAAGATAATACATTTTTGGTAAAAGGAACACGGCTTACCTATATTCTATAATAACTGGGAACTTCCATACACTATACTGCATATATATATAATGATGTAATCTATGAATATGGGAAGGATTGTTCTGCAGCATAATAAAAAAGCTTAAAGCCAAAAAAAGGAAATAGTTGGCTTATTTACAGTTATGAAAAGTTTTTAGTCCTGAGGTATTTTTGTTTACTTATTCCTGAGGACAGCAACTATGATATATATTTGTTCCTAAAACCATGGGATATTAGAGGTAAACTTGTTTAAAAAAAAAAACACACTTAAACAATTAAAAATAAATAGAAATGGCAGTGTTTTCATTCACACTAATCATCAAAACATCATTCACAACTTCACTTTATTCCGAAAATTGAAAAAACTTTGATGTCCTTGTCATTATTTGCATTCTTAAAAGTCTATATCTGTGTAGCATGTCATCTGGTGTCTTGTTGTGCCGTCACAGCTGCGTCTTTTATCACAGTGAGAGTTATCTTGTTTGAGTCGAGAACAAAGTCCGTCGCCTGGCCTGGCATTGACTATAGAAGTGTCTGGAGAGCTATGGTAGCTTCTCGTCCCATTTTCCCGAAGAATATTGTATTTCTGCAAATCCAAAATTTAAGGAATTAATAGTGTAAAAATAGTGATGAACCTCATCTATAAAGTAAGGATGAAAATACTTAATTTATTGTGATCATACTGAAAAATTTGGATGTTGGGGATGAAATGTGGTATCTTTCATACAAATACATATACAACATACAAAGTATATGTGTATTCTACACATTTTAGACACACACACACACACACACACACACACACACACACACACACACACACACACACACACACACACACACACACACACACACACACACACACACTATGTATATATATATGTACACATTAGTACAGAATATAGTCATATAAAACTACTGCATACTTATTAGGAGATCATCACAAAAGGCATACACACACAAAGTATGTACATAATTGTATAGAAAATAGTATCCAAATTACTATATACACGATAATGGAATGGTTAGTCTCTATATTAAGCAAGATGTGTTTCTTAATATCTAATCATGGTCATACACAAAACTTACATATATTTTTTTCTATAAATATTTAAATTATAGAAAAACAGAGTAACAATTTGACTAAATATGAATTATCTCTGGAGCCTCACATTTCAAAATAGAACAGTATTCTATCTACTGCTAAGATCAATAATATAAAGTAACTACAATGAACCCCTCTGGAAAATCTAACTCAATAACAAGTGAATTTAGAAGGTGATTATATATGTCAACATTACAAATGACTATACAACTCATGCATTCTATATACAGACAATATACAGAACATGCTTTATCAAAGCCTGTTTTAAATGTTGTAAATTGCAAAAGATTTACAAAATTGTGTCTAATGCTACCTGAGGTAATTACAATATACAAATATGTATAAAAGAAATTGATGTAAGAGGAAGAATAAAATAATGTCAAAAAACCATCAAGATACCACTGGAATTCACTGCAGAGGACATTAGGGAAACCTAGGGCCATCGTAGTGGTTTTCTGACAAAAGAGTCCTAAGATAAACCAAGTAGTAGGTTCTGTCAAGGGTGCCCCAAACCAGCTCATCCTTCCAGGATTTTAGAAAGTTTCATTGGGATGGTCATGGGCATGTTCCTCATGGGGTGGGTGGTGCATTCCCATCCCACTAGACATGCCCATGAAGAGGTTCTGCCAGTACCTCCAGGGTGAAGTCATGCACATGGCTTTGGTCCTGGGACAGGGGTACTGCTTCAGGCATTCGACAAACTCTCGGTCGCATTCGCACAGTTGATGGCCGCAGCTATTAGGTCCTCCAAGTGGGCCCTTTGTAGGTACTGGAAACAAAGGAGAAGTTTAAAAACAAAATCAGACATGCATATACCTATATCTGTCTATGTATAATGAACAAGTATAATATATGATATTAATTTAATGAATTCAGCTCTTTCTTTTTCAATCTGAACTTTAAATATGAATCTTTTTTTGCTAAGCTTATCAGACAATAATTCTATAATACAAGATTATAGGGAAATATATATCATTAAAAAAATGCTAATATTTTAATACAGGAAAGCATGCAAGTGATGAATGAAGAGTTCTCCTTCAGTTTAATAGGTTCAGTCTTCAAGTGTAGGTTCCATTAAGTCCGTTGTTGAACCACACAAATTCCAAATCAAACAAAAAGGAAAACTGTCTTTGTTCTGAATCTAAAACCTACATTTAGCCATTACATGATGTTGGGTTAAACAGATACTCTAGTAGTGATCTAAATGAACTGACCTGAAATCATTAGGTGAAAACTGGATGCTTAAAAATATGTTCTCATAGGTAAAAATGAAATGCAAAATGAAGACAGAAAATAATTTGTAAGAATATATAACAGACTCAAGGAGAGCTCTTTCTCTTCAGCGACAAGAAAACAACTGACTGCTTAAGGGAAAGAATATTTTACAACAGTTTAAATGCAGAAGCCGATGGTCTTACATGCAGGTGTCAGCAATGGTGGGAGGAAAACCCAGTGTCTCTACTTACCTGATGTCCAACGCAGTCTGTCTTTGAAAACAAACCTAATGTCTGGCAAAAGAAATGTGTTCAAAAATTTTGGTAATTTTGGGGTGTGGTATAAACAAGACCTATTGGCAACATGATTAAAGATCGGATGTAACCAATGTTTTCAACTCTTCATTTGAGATTCTTCTGGTTTGGTAAAAGAAAATACCAAGGAGAGGGAATAACAGAGACAGAATATGAAGGACACACTGCTAAGTGCAAGTGTGGAAAAGACAGGGATAAGGGAATTGCAAAGATTTAGCGATCTTTTACTGTGCATAAAGTCAACTGGCCTTAATAACATACCGAATAAAGAAGAGTCAATTGGTGCTGATTAGTCATGTATAAGAAAAGTAAATGTGTCTTTTGAAGTAGCTGAAAGCCTAATATGTGCATATGCATGTACTATTCAAAAACATTACTACATGCTGAGTTTTTGCTTATTACATTAAGAATGCACCCAAGCTTTTGTAAGCCTTTCTACAAAAACTTTCTTGAGAGAAAAAATGCCTTTATACAGTATGTACAATATCAGATGCAAGAAGCTATATCCTAGTCTTCAGCAGTTTTTGTGCTGGTCTTTAGAAAAAGCACTTTAATAGACCCATCAAAACCTTTCATAGCTTCTCTGCCCAACTCCCACTGAATTGTTTGAGTCAATGAGGATAACTTTCACTTAAAAAGAAAAGAAAAGCAATTTTGATTAATTCATACAGATTACTAAGGAACCTATCTGTTGTCAGTGTTGTATTGTCAATATGTATTACAATTTGTAAATTATCTAAAGCACATAATCTTATATAAATATTATTTTCTATAAAGCCTATCATTCAAATTACAGATTTATATGTATTATAAAGGATGGATACTACATTTCTTGGATTCATGGCCAAAACTATCACAGGCTTTGAAAATCATCCTCACAATGACTCAACCACCTTCTGTACATGCCTAATGTATACTTATCTGGTCAAGAGTCAACTCAGGTCACTTGTAGGATTTCTACGGGTATTTGAGAAAGAAATCCTCGAGGTCATGAGAGCTTCTTGTGCCTCTTGAGTCCCACTGGAAGGTCACAGCCATGGTCAAGGTGTCACTGAAGATCTAGCTTAAGTCATCTCCAAAATCACTGTATCCTGATGTCATCTTGAAGCCAGTAAAGGCAACTTCTTTCCCTATAACCAAAGTCTGCCATAGCCTCACAGAAACGGAGTACTGGTTCCTGTTCTTAAGGGGCATCTAGATAACAGGAATGTCTATCATCTTGTGGTGGACCTCTTAAGTCATGTCTCAGTCAACTGTGAGTCGCCTTACCACATCTGGGCTGCCGGCGATGACAGGTCCAGATGTATGAGGCAAAGTACGTGAGAATAAGGGGGCACCGAGCTTGATTGTAACACCAGTCATGTCTGGCGCAGCACCTGTTCAGGTTCAAAGTCAGAGTCATTTTGTTTGTTACTGTGGTCATTTTGTGCAAAAGAAGGTAGCTGGGGATGATATAAATTGAAATAGATAAGGAAAAGTCAGTAGTTCACTGTGCTTTGAATCTGTAAGAAAAAGTCATTTGTTATTGATAGCTAAATTGGTCTTAACTGCTGCTCTTGCGGCTTCCCTGTCAGTTAGTAGAGATGTAAAGAGACAGTGCTTAAAGGCAGTGCAAACTGGTAAAAGAAGGGACAGGACAAACATAAGCAAGGGGGGATGATATATCGTCATTAATGCCTTGTGTCAAATACCTGTGAAAAAAATACAAGCATCAGTATCTTGTCAAACACAATTAATGGAATCTGTATATATATATGAGGTCTTCCATAAGCCTTTGCTCTTGTCTCCCACACACGGGGTCTGTTTTTTGGTCAATGGCCCGGCAGCAGAGTAGGGTTGTCAGCTCACTCACCACAGTAAGGTGATCCTCCGTTGCATTTCCACTTGTAGGGAGTAAAGTAGTGATCTATGCCTTTGCAACTTGCATGTTCATAGCACCAATCATGACCCTTGCAACATCTGTAATGTCATTTGATATGAAAATGGGTTAACTTGAAGAGAGAGAGAGAGAGGGGAATAATAATATGAAATGGGAAATGACAAATTAATATTAAATGAGAGTGCTAGAACAAAGAAACACTCAGGAATGTAAGAATCAAATACTTAAGATCATTTAGTGTGTCTGGAAAATCTATATAAATCATTAAATAAATTCCAAATATACATTCTTATTATTTTGATATACAAAAACCACCAAGTATTACTTTAATCATTGTTATTCTGTGTATATCAAACTAGCCTATATGAAAAGAACAACATCAACAAAGCACTAAAAAAAACCAGAACACACACACACTTTCCAACAACAGCAACTCGAACCATTCACAGGAACATCCTTAAAACGAACACCATCATTACACATATATATATATCTCCTTCCCCTTCCACGAAATACTTACTTATCAATGCCATCCACCACGACTCCAGAGCCAAGGAAACCGCAGTAGCACCCATAGCCCTTATAATCCAAAGGGTTGCAGTCCGTAGCACAGGTCATCATGTTAAACAGGTGGAAGACTGAACGTTTTCTCCTGCTGGGGGCGATGCTGGTCTGCTCTGGTTCCTCCTGCTGCTGGCTGAGGTCCGTGGATGCCGAAGCTGGAAGCGAGAGGGAGAGTTTTAGTGGGTGGACTTCATTAAGGTGGTTTTAGGCTTTCTGGTCTGCGCAGTTAGCATGGATTTTGGTGTGGTGGTGGTGGAGGTGGTGGTGAAGATGGTGATGATGAGGATGGTGATGGTGGTAATGATGAGGATGTGATGATGGTAATGATGAGGATGTGATGATAATGTGGAGGTGGTGGTGGTGATGAGGATGGTGATGCTGATGGTGATGATAATGTGGGGGTGGTGGTGGTGATGAGAATGTGGTGGTGGTAGTGGTGATGTAGTAGTTGCAGCAATATTAAAATAAATCGTAACTATGCTTAAAACAACATAAACAAAACAGAACTGGCAACAATACAATTGCACTTATCATTATTACCAGTATCTATTACAAATATTACTTCATTTGACATTACCATCACAGATAGTATAACCGACAAATTCACCTACAAAAATCAAGCTATTCTAAATCATTAATCAACATGAATGTCCACAGGAAATTCATTACAGATACCAAAAGTACTCAATTAGAAGAAATAACCCTTTTATCCACAATTATTCGCTTTCATACACAATCACCCCCCCCCTATCCCCCATCCCTACAACTCGTTATCATGTTCAATAAACTCAAATATTACACCTTATTAAAATCTAATTCCCTTCGCTCTTTGCCATTCCTCAGTCCCTAATCTATTTCACTTCAAGAACGAGGACAGAAAACAAAAGAATTAAGGAGAGATGAACGAGGCACAGGAAATACTTAACTTGCAATCCGTTAAAAAAGCCGACCTTGAAACGACCATTGCTCTAAAGTCGCGAGTTAATGACCTTGTTAATTAACTTGGTGGTTCATTAGTTTACTCAAGAGACCACAGAGGGATGTTAGTGGGAATGTGTAACGTTTGCATTGCTCAGGTATTGAATTTCATGGTGAGGAAGGGTTAAGTGTGTTTGCAAGCTGTGGTTAATTGTAGATTTAAAAGCTCTCTTTTTGAGACTTGTATTAATATCATAATGGCAAGCACCATCGAATTAAGGATGTAGCCTATATATATATAAATATATATATATATATATATATATATATATATATAAATATATATATATATAAATAAATATATATATATATATATATATATATATACATATATATACACACACCCACACTTATGTGTGTGTGTGTGTGTGTGTGTGTGTGTGTGTGTGTGTGTGTGTGTGTGTGTGTGTGTGTGTGTGTGTGTGTGTGTGTGTGTGTGTGTGTGTGCGCGCGCGCGTGTGTGCTCATACATATATACTTACATATATCTGTGTACGCGCGCGTACACACACGCACACACACACACATGCCCACAATTATTAAATAACTTAGACGATATAAAAATAGAGTTTTGAGCAACCGGAGTTGAAACAGAAAGGAAAGGAACAGCCTTGCCACATCCTCAATATGATCTTGTCAAACATTATGAAAATGATAAAAAAGATACAAAAAGACTACACTCCATACTGACCTCCACATCGAAATTGTAAACACAAAAAAAAAAAAAAAAAAAAAATCAAGAAAGAAAGCAGACGTATATAACAATGTCCACAGCTGACGTAACTTGGCAACACCGTAATTTTGCGCCTATAAATTTTAAGAACTGTAGCGACTGTTGCAGTATAATAATTTTGTGAAATTCTTCATTATGCAATTTCGTGACGTTCTGGTTTTGCGTCACAGTGGCAAAATATAGAGATTAAATCATATGACTTGAATGTAAACAAGATGAGGAATAACCACACAACTTGCTTCTAACACGTGTTTGTGTATCATCCGTGTATATACTTTCTGTAAAACACTCGTAATGGCGTAGTGTGTGGGGAGATGAAAATGTTTATATAGTTTGTAAATGGCAATCGATTTTTTTCTGGTTTTATTCATAAGAAATTAACAATTGCGCGTGCACACGCACACGCACACGCACGCACACTCAAACGCATATATATATATATATATATATATATATATATATATATATATATATATATATATATATATATATATATATACTCTGTCTGTCTGTCTGTCTCTCTCTCCTTGCTGATGTTTGATGTGATACTTGTCTGATTAAACAATCGACCTTTTACAACAACTGTTAACAATAAGAATCTCACACACGAAAACGTTTACTCTTTAGGGGAGAGGGGGATAGATAAAGGGAGGGAGGGAGGGGGAGAAGGGGAGAAGGAGAGAAGGAGAGAAGGAGAGAAGAGAAGGAGAGAAGGGGAGAAGGGGAGAAGAGGAGAAGAGGAGAAGAGGAGAAGAGGAGAAGGAGAGAGAGAGAGAGAGAGAGAGAGAGAGAGAGAGAGAGAGAGAGAGAGAGAGAGAGAGAGAGAGAGAGAGAGAGAGAGAGAGAGAGCAGAAGTAAAAAGAAATTAAAGCTTAAAAACTCGCCTCAAAATATAAAATGAAAAATAAGGCAAGGCAAAATATTAAAGAAAAGTTTTTTTCATGTTTTCTCTCTTATTCCAAAAGAAAAAAAAATCTGATTATATGCCTTAAAGTATATACATATCACGCATATCAATATATTGCGATAGGCTGCATTATGGTGAACAGATCAATGCTCACGTTATATATGATGAAAGTTTAAACTAACAAAACATATAATAAATGTATTGTCGGACATATGGCCTGAGACCCACTATGGACACGCATGCCTTCATAATTGCGTTCAACAAGACCTGATTTATCGTTCGTTTTAGCTCTCTCTCTCTCTCTCTTCAACACTTTAGGGTATTTCCCAATAAAGTAACGATAAATTGTATACATGCTTACGCCATTTTTTATTTTTTCCTCCAATCGGTAGCAAAAAGCCTATCCTCAACTTAACCTGAACATTTAGATGGAATAAAGTAATGTTGACTTGCGTGTGGCTACGTTAAGTTATTGAGTTGGTGTTTTGAGGTTTATTCTCAACTACACGACCACGAATAATGCCACATGATAATTGGGAAAGATGTAGCTAGCATGTTGCATGGACGTTTTCTACTAATTATGTACAGTATTTAACGTGGATATAGTCTGTGACGGGGTTAGGTACAGGCGACAAGAGGTGGGCGTAAGGGTGTGTGTGATTGTGTGTGTGTGTGGGGGGGGAGTGTACAGAATAACAACAATGATGATGCTAGTAATAATGGATATAATGATGCTTATGATAATAATAATGATGATGACTGATGATGATAACAAGAAAACTAACATGAATAAAAATACTGCTACTGCTGCTTCTACAACTACTGCTGATAATAAAAATAGTGTGACTCACGGGATCTTTCCCTTCATCTACCTCAATTCTACTTATTCTATCCCAAAATACTCCCCTACCCCGAACAAACGAACACACACACACACACACACACACACACACACACACACACACACACACACACACACACACACACACACACACACACACACACACACACACACACTACTCTAACGTATAGAAATTGGGCAACTCCACCCAAGAAATTTTCATGGTCACTTTTTTGCTTATTTACAGCCATTAACCAGTTAACCAAATGACCAATTGGGAAATGAGAGACCAGATCGATTACATAACAATGCCTTTCAGTGACGGGAATAATTATAATAATATTGATAATGACGACAATAATAATGTTGATAATGAAATATACACAAATAAAACGTGACATTCTAACCAAATTACAACCATTAAGATCTACAACTTCCCCAGTACAAGAAAACAAAAAACGAAAACCAAAAAAAAAAAATTAAAATCGTCCTTTTCCTCTCTACCGCAACAGGAGTCTCACCCCCCCCCCCCCTTACACACACCCATCTGGCCGCATCACTTTCGCTTCCAGGGGCGTCGTCGGACTGCGCACTTCAAGGTCGCCAAGCAGGAAGAGGCGAGAGGAACAACCTGTCCTGTACTTCCTGCTAGCCGCTGGTCATTTCCCCCCCAAGGGCCCCCCCTTCGCCGTCCCCAGCAGCGTCAACCTCGTTACAAAGATGCCTGTCCAACGGTTGGGCTCGCTAGGTTAGGGCACTGTGACTTTTTATCTATTTATTTATCTTATAAAAGGAAAGGGTTTGTTTATATGTTATTTGGTGTATGTGGGGGGAGGAGGGGGAGGGTGAAGACTGTTATTTAGGATTAATGTTTTCGAAAAGGTGTACAGTACAAATGACAGTCCAAGGAGTGAGAGGCGACTTGTAGAGATCGGAGATAGATAACGATTTGTATTTTTTTTTTAATGGATTTCCCTCTTTTTTATATAATGTCTTAGTCCTATTCCGTAAATGTGCTTCTCCTGAATTTATTATTATGGCTTTGACGTTTATCTGACAAAGACGGATTTCACGCTCGCAAGGTTGGATTCCTTTACTTTTTTTTATCAGCGCTTCTTAGATAAGCATGCGTTTATATGCATATATGAATACAGAGGTAAATATGTATTTAATAAATAAATGCGTGTGTATGCGCGCATGAAAGCAGAGAGAGAGTGTGTGTGTGTGTGTGTGTGTGTGTGTGTGTGTGTGTGTGTGTGTGTGTGTGTGTGTGTGTGTGTGTGTGTGTGTGTGTGTGAGAGAGTCGTCTGTATGCGTATATATAATTATGTCTGTGTAAAAAAAACTACAGATTAGCCCGTTAAGTAATCCACTTCTAAACAACAATGGCGCACGCATTTCCAAGCACTCCTCTCCATACACGATGCACGTAGACCCGGCGTCGTGGGCGAACCGTCACACACCCGTTGGTCACGTGATGGGAGGGACGAGTTATTACAAGCGCGACTGTAATTTGTACTAACTCCCCCCCCCCCCTCCTCCATAAATTGCGCGTGGCTAAGAGCAGAAAAGGCAATACATGGAACAGAGAAATGGGCTATGGAGGGTTACATTCAGTTCTTAATGTTTACGATATCCGAATTTTGGAAGGAGCTACAGTATTAATTCTTGGTCAGATTACTGTTCTGAGTATGTTGAAACATTCTTACATTTCATATATTCGTTTTTATTACAACATGGAGGATGTTTTTTTTCGTTTTAACGCTTTATTAACGAGCAAAATAATAAACATAAATCAAAGGAAATAACATTTACTAATTTACTTTTTTCTCTCATTTATTTTTTATTATATAAAACTTTATACGACAGGTGTATTTTTAAAACTATCAGCTGAATTCAAATCGGGGTTTTGCCTTTCACAACTTATCAACATGAATTGCTTTCCTTCACAGCTAAAATAAACCCATATAGATAGTAAATCACAACTTTGCTAAAACCGTTTGTCAAAAAACGTTTTCCCAGATGGTCAGGTGATTACCAGAGAGAATGTAAACCTTTCTAGGCCAGATCTAGCTTTGTAAAACAGGAAAACAAACTTAGTGGATAATAAATAAT